GTAAACTAACTAGCAACAAGCCATACCATTCTTAATGTAGGTAGCTAAATTACAAATTTTTTATGCTTATGCTTAAAAGTTATGCTTGTAAAAGTTACCTATAGCTACCAGCAGCATGAACAGAAGCATCAAAATGACTTATCTCTGAATTTCCTTGCCTCTTCTTCGTTAATTTGTATTCCAGCTTCAATTATTTGTTTAATTAGTTTATCCGTGAACAAACTCAAAGGACAACTAACCGGCATTTTCACTGTCTCAAGTGCCTCGATAACGGTGCACTCAGATTAATTATGAACGTGACCAAATGTGGCAAGAGAAATATGGTGGAATGACTCCGCCTTCTAAATAAGAGCCAGTCTCTGATTGTTAAAGTCATCATATCACTAAAGCAATTATACATAGAAAAGAATTTGCAGACAGTAAAAACAAAAAAACAAAAAAAAGCAAATAAATATACAATTTAAATAGTCATGAACAGGTTTAGAGAAAGATGATAGAAAAGGTTCAAACAGGTTACCACTAGTGATGTTAGGTTCTTGAATGAATCGTTCTTTTGAGCCGGTTCTCAGGAAGTAACCGGTTGAGCCGGTTCACAAATCGAATTGAATCGAACTTTAGTTCCGGGTTAATGATGCAGGACGCTCACCCGAAGTAGCACGTCCAACTCAAAAAGAACCGAATGAGCCGGTTCAACCAACTGTCGAAGTTTGCCGAGGATTGCCGAGGACTCAACAAGAACCGAATGAGCCGTGGCGAAGTTTGCAGAGGATTATCGAAGATTCTGATGAGTGAGTTGACGATACTGTGCAAGCCTGAGGCGCTTACTGGAAATATGCTTATTATGACTGTTATTAATTTACATTTTATTAAAACCTGCCAAAACCTTTCTGTCGAGTTATGTAAATAAATTTTACAATAGTTTATTGTGCATGCATATTATATTTAAGGTTGCTTAAGCGAAATCAAGGAGTTTATAAGACGGGTTTATTCATTCTTTATACTGTAGACATGTAGAACATATCTGCATTTGTGCATCAATGTCTGTAATGTGTGCTGTAGGCGCAAAACTTTTAGGAATCTTATTCAAGTTGTAGGCTAGTCAATATTGCTCAGTCAGTCGTATCTGAGGATCCGTGAATGAAACTGACCACAAACACCATTAACTTGAGTGAATTATATGGTAATAATCAGCAATATGCTTTCACACAAATAACTTCATTTTTTAATGTTTCAATATGCGTTGACACAAATTACTTATTTGAATTTTTCATTGATACAGCATGGCACTGAGTTGTTAGAAAAGGAATGCGTAGAGACGTTATTGCTTGATGACGTCAGGAACCGATGAATCGGCTTTTTGAACCGGTTCAATGAGCCGATCTGTCCGAAAAGAACCGGTTTGCAGAAATGAATCGAACTTTACATCACTAGTTACCACAAACAAAAGGTTCTCTATTAAAACAAACTCGGGTAATCCAAACATGAGAAGGCAACGTAACGGCATGTCTACACACAAACAATACCAGACAACAACTAAATGAAAAGGAGGAACTTAAATACACAGGGTGATTGAACTCAAATGGTGAACAGGTGATGACTCGTTAATCAGAAACCATAGTAACAAACAAAGAGCAGGAAACTGGAACAAAGGAACACAGGTAATATATGGAAACAAATTTACAATGTAATATTCTTTATGTAATATTCTTTCCTTTTTTTAGAGGAAATGTTAATAAGAATAGACTTTCCTTGCAAGGGACTTTGATGTAATTTCATGTCCGGGAACAGCATTGAGCCTCCTGGTCTTTATAATTATGTAAGAGTAAAAGCCTCTTGATATTTGAATAGAACAACCAGATCATGATCCTACAACATTGTCTTTTAAAACTATCCAGTTATCATTTGCATATAATAATGCAATGTAAAGATTAGCTAAAGTTATTAATGAAACTTATGAAATTATCTCCAGGCTACAATGCCCAAGAATTGAATGGAAATTTACCAGTAGGCTATCAGTAGGTTTTACTTTAAAGGTGCAGTAGGAGATCTTGGAAAATGCTAACTTTAGCCTGATAGCACTGAAAGCGAACGTCCCACCCTCCCTGCAATCGCCGTCCAAAGCCACACCCCCTGAACATATTTACGCTCACAGACCAGAATACCAGAGACAACATTACTACAATAGGCTACATCAGCGGTTCCCAATTCCAGCCCATGTTCCGAAGTGAAGTAAACTTCAACGGATTTCC